GTCTTGTTAATCATGAGTATCTTCACATACAAAATGTTCAGGATTAGAATAAGCTTGTTGATCATGAGTATCTCCACATTCAAAGTGTTCAGGATTAGAATAAGCATATTCATCATGAGTATCCCCACATTCAAAGTGTTCAGGATTAGAATAAGCATGTTCATCATGAGTATCTTCACATTCAAAGTGTTCGGGATTAGAATAAGCATGTTCATCATGAGTATCTCCACATTCAAAGTGTTCAGGATTAGAATAAGCATGTTCCTCATGAGTATCTCCACATTCAAAGTGTTCGGGATTAGAATAAGCATGTTCATCATGAGTATCTCCACATTCAAAGTGTTCGGGATTAGATGAACAAGCTTATTCCCTGAACACTTTGAATGTGGAGATACTCATTTATGTAAGTTGATATTATGTGTTTTACTTACACCTTTATGTAAGTTTGTATGTTGTTTTACATTCACATGTATGTAATTTTATATTCTGTGTTTTACTTACACCTTTATTTAAGTTGATATTATGTGTTTTATTTACACCTGTATGTAAGCTTATATTGTGTTTTACTTACACCTGTATGTAAGTTTGTATCATGTGTTTTTACACCTCTACGTAAGTTTATATTATGTGTTTTGTTTACACCTATATGTAAGTTTATATTATGTGTTTTGTTTACACCTGTATGTAAGTTTGTATCATGTGTTTTACTTACACCTTATGTAAGTTTATATTATGTGTTTTATTTAACCTGTATGTAAGTTTATATTATGTGTTTTGTTTACTTCTGTATTTAAGTTCATATTATGTATTTTGTTTAGACCTGTATGTACGTTTATATTACGTGTTTTGTTTACACCTGTATGTACGTTTATATTATGTGTTTTGTTTACACCTGTATATAAGTTTGTATCATGTGTTTTGTTTACACCTGTGTGTCAATTTATATTATGTGTTTTGCTTACTGCTGTTTATCTTGTGTGTTTTAAGAACACCAACTGATTATGTGTTTATATGTTAAGTCAGTTTATTTCCTCCAGAGACTCGTATCGATGAACATGCCTCTAAACACCGATGGTACAGTCATGTTCAACGCCACTTTGTTTGCGGTTGTTCGAACTTCATTACGCATCAAAACAGAAGGTAAGATTATGAAGGTTTACTGGGAAAATTAAAGCTGAATAGAACGAGTAGGTGTGATATGAGAGTGACAGTCAAAGCCCACTATACCATCAAAGTAACTCGAGAGTTGACAGTGGGGACCGTTGGCTAGCTGCCTTTCCTCTAGTCTATTAGTTGGATATTAGAAACAGCTAGCACAGATAATTATTTAGTTGTAGCCTTGTACGAATATAGGAAACAAATTATGAACTGTATAAGAATTTACTCGGTGTTGGCATGACAACCACTTATTTTGTTTCCTCATGAAGAGCGTTGAGTGATAAAAGAAACTGAAATATAAAGTATACGTTTATGATGAAAAAAAATCATTTTTATATAACCTTACATAATTAAAAAATACCATAATTCCTTATTCAGACTTCATAACTAGTAATTAAATCACCTTCGGTTATTGTTTCAGTATCACTCTTGTCATTATTATTAGTTGTTTTCTTGATTATTGTTTCAGTATCATTCTTGTCAGTATTATTATTGTTTTCTTGGTTATTTTTCAGTATCATTGTTGTCAATATTATTATTTGTTTTCTTGGTTATTGTTTCCAAATTATTGTTGTCAGTATTATTAGTTGTTTTATTGGTTATTGTTTCATTATTACTGTTGTCAGTATTGCTAGTTGATTTCTTGGTTATTATTTCAGTACCACTGTTGTCAATATTATTAGTAAATTTCTTGGTTATTATTTCAGTACCACTGTTGTCAATATTATTAGTAAATTTCTTGGTTATTATTTCAGTACCACTGTTGTCAATATTATTAGTAACTTTCTTGGTTATTATTTCAGTACCACTGTTGTCAATATTATTAGTAACTTTCTTGGTTATTGGTTCAGTATTACTGTTGTCAATATTGTCGGTTGTTTTGTTGGTTATTGTTTCATTATCACTATTGTCAGTATTATTAGTTGTTTTCTTGGATATTGTTTCATGATGACTATTGTCAATATTTTTAGTAGTTTTATTGGTTATTTTTTCACTATCACTGTTGTCAATATTATTAGTTGTTTTCTTGGTTATTTTTTCATTATCACTGTTGTCAGTATTATTATTTGTTTTCTTGGTTATTGTTTCAGTATCACTGTTGTCAGTATTATTATTTGTTTTCTTGGTTATTTTTTCACTATCACTGTTGTCAATATTATTAGTTGTTATCTTAGTTATTGTTTCAGTATCACTGTTGTCAGTATTGTTGCGTCAGCGAGGTCACGTGACTAGTATCACGCCACCTCTTTCTAGAAATATCCTGTTCCTTCAAGAATGCCCTAGCATTTACTAGATATGTGTTAGTCTTGTATATATAAGACGTTCACAACGTGACGGGACAACAGAGGTAATGAGTAATTGAATGTATGCGGACATAATATTGTTGGCCACGTGAGATGTGTGTTATAGCGTTGTTATAGAGCGACTGTTGAAATTAAGTGTATCGTAAAGTTGTATTCGGAAAGAATAAACCAGTTTATTTAAGAAAATTAACGAACGAACGGAGACGTAACAGTATTATTAGTTGTTTTATTGGTTATTATTTCAATATCACTGTTGTCAATATTTTTCGTTGTTTTCTTAGTTATTGTTTCAGTATCACTGTTGTCGATATTATTAGTTGTTTTCTTGGTTATTGTTTCAGTATCACTATTGTCAGTATTATCAGTTGTTTTATTGGTTATTGTTTCAGTATCACTGTTGTCAGTATTATTAGTTGTTTTATTGGTTATTGTTTCAGTATCACTATTGTCAGTATTATTAATAGTTTTGTAGGTTATTTTTTCAGTATCACTGTTGTCAATATTATTAGTTTATTTCTTGGTTATTGTTGTCAGTATTAATTGTTGTTTTATTGGTTTTGTTTCATTATTACTGTTGCCAGTATTATTAGTTGTTTTATTGGTTATTGTTAAATAACATATGGTAACAATTGGTAATTTGTTCTGGTGACAATTTTACCCCAGGTAACAATTGGTAATTTGTTCTTGTGAAAAATTTATCCCAGGTAACAATATTTGTTCTGGTGCCAGTTTTATTCCAGATAACAAAACATTTCTTGAAAGTTTCATCATTTGTGGAAGTTATCAGTGAATAACAGTATGATGTTAGACAGCGTTAAGTCTACAAACTCACAACGCTAAAATTCGGGGCTCAGTTCTCCGCGGTGGACACATCAGAGAGCACCTGGCAAACACTCATATGTTCGCGGAATTCCTCGATAAGTCGTGATCCTTCTAGAAACTCTAGCGCGCATGCTCCCAGCGTCGCGTGACTTCCGCTGTCGTAACACTATGTATCAAAAGAAATCTACTGAGTGCTTAATAGGCCTCTCTCTCTGCCGATAGAGATCGACCACCTGTCAAATAGGACTCCCTCTCTACTGAGTGTCTAATAGAAATCTACTACCTGTCAAATAAGACTCTCTCTCTACTGATATAAATCTACCAATTGTAAGTTTAGTAAACGTAATGGAACGTCTCTAATTGTTGAATGATTAATTCAGTCACAAAAAGTATCTTCCCCAGTTAAGATTTGTAAGTTTAGTAAACGTAATGGAACGTCTCTAATTGTTGAATGATTAATTCAATCATAAAAAGTATTGTTACGTCTCTAGTCGTTTGTTAATATCCCGGTATAAATTCTTCCCGAGGAACTTCAGCGATGAAAGTCCTTTGTTAAATAAAACTAGTTTATTCTTTCTCAATACAACTTTGCAATACACTTAATTTCCACAGTCACTTTAACTTGAACACGCGCTATAATTCACAACGATTCACGCTCTTTACTTACGACTTGACTCGATTATCTGTCCCTATATATCCCTATCTGCAATTATCTACGCCGTCACTTCTCTCTCCGCTTTATTTGCCGGGCTTATATATACAAAAATAGAGGGCGTCTGACAAACATTCGAGCCTTCGTGATTCTTCTAGAAACTCATCACGTGTTACAGCGTCACGTGACTTCTGCTGTCGTAACAGTATCTTCCTCAGTTAAGAGTTGTAAGTTTAGTAAATGTAATGGAATGTCTTTAATTGTTGAATGATTAATTCAGTTACAAAAAATATTCTTCAGTTAAGATTTGTAAGTTCAGTAAATTTAAAGAAACATCTGTTATATTTGAATATTTCCTTAAGAATGTTTGTTACTGAAGAATGGCTAAAAGAAATATTATAATTAAACTAAAAGAAATGTGCAAATTTGAATTTATAGTATTAATGCTGCAGCTTGTACATTCATAGTTAGGCCTATTCCTTATATTCTTCGTCGAGCTGTGTTGATGCTGTTACATTTTTTTCTCAATATTCTGCCGTTTATGTTTGACCCAATGGCAGAAGAGATAAGCCCTATTGTAATGTCAGAAAACTTGGTATTTAACTGAATAACGAAACATTTTTCCCAGGAACGTCCTCCGCCGACTTATCAAAAGTTTGTTCCGCAGTTGCAGGATCTTCACATGTGATTTTATTCTAATCCTGATCACTTTGTATGTGGGGATACACATGATCAACAAGCTTATTCTAATCCTGATCACTTTGTATGTGGAGATACTCATGATGAACATGCTTATTCTAATATTATGTGTTTTATTTACACCTTCAACTCACATACAGGTGTAAACAAAACACATAATATAAACGTACATACAGGTGTAAACAAAACATACGATAAACTCACATACTGGTTAAAGAAAACACTAAATATAAACTTACATACCAGTTGAAGAAAACACATGATATAAATTACATACAGGTGTAAGTAAAACACATGATACAAACTAACATACAGGTGTAAACAAAACACATAATGTAAACTTACACACAAGTGTAAGTAAGACACATAATATAAACTTACATACGGGTGTAAACAAAACACATAATATAAACACTTACACACAGGTGTAAGTAAAACACATAATATAAACACTGACACACAGGTGTAAGTAAAACACATAATATAAACTGACATAAAGGTGTAAGTAAAACACATAATATAAATTTACATACAGGTGTAAGTAACACACATAATATAAACTGACATAAAGGTGTAAGTAAAATACATAAAATATAAACTAACATACAGGTATAAAAAACAAATAATACAATCTTACATACAGGTTAAAGAAAACACATAATATAAAGTTACATACACGTGTAAATAAAACATAATATAAAATTACATACAGGTTAAAGAAAACACATAATATAAAGTTACATACACGTGTAAATAAAACATAATATAAAATTACATACAGGTTAAAGAAAACACATAATATAAAG